GACCGCTGCCAAACTCGCAATGCATACAAGATTAGTGGTAAAATTTAGGGTGGACAGAGATTGAACCTACTTTGAGGGAGGGAGAAGAAAGTGAACCACTATGGTCAACACACAGAGTGCACAATCGAACTCTGTATACATACTGTTTCAAGTGTTCTGGCCTGATAAGAAATAACAACAAGAACGCCACTGCTGTCGGTTCCCTATCGTATTCTTCAATGTCTCCAACCAACCGCCTGTAGAGTCTTTCAGACCCCAACCTGGAAGGCGAGTGGCACCTATTCTACCTAATGGTTCTGTTCATTTCTTCATCTGTCGACCTCCACGTGGTTTCCTTCAGCCCGGAACGGGTACAGAGAATAAGGCGCGATGTGGTAGACGGTAGATCGGCATGCGCTACCGTCACTGGTCACGCAAATACCTAAATAAGAAAAGTAATCTACCGTAACTAATTCTTGGCCATTAAACTTTGGAGCGGCAGTAGGTGAAACCCAGTTCTGCAGCATCACTTTGCACTAGGAAGATGAAAAGCACATACCGAATGTGGCAACCGCACTTGTTGGTCTATCAAGTGCGTTTTTCACGTCTTGCGTACATTGGAACAGACAGACGATGTCATCGGCGTACGCCAAATCGCACAGTTTCTCTCCAGCTGCCCATTCAATACCTAGGTTATAGACACCACTTAATGCGTTCTCCAGTATTTTATCTACGACGAAATTGAACAGGAACGGCGTAGGAGGGCACCCTTGACGAACGGCTACTTAGTTCATCATAGACCGCTAATCGACCAGAGGTATATGTGTACCAAAGATGGTGACCTAACTAGCCGGTTGAAAACTCTTCGGGGTCACAGTTTGACAGTATGGGACACATTCTTCCAGTATCAGGCTTGAGATCATTTGCATACGTTGTGACTGAGCGTAATCCCTATGTTGTTTACCACGCCAAGCCCTGAGTCTAAGATCGCCTATTGGCCAGGCATTCGGTCCTCTCCATAAAAGTGTTATTTTCACTGTTGCTACTTTCTGTGTAGTGAAAAATATCAGCACTATAGGTTTGGCGTTCACTCATACCGGCGTGACTCTTACCTCGCTCGTAGATTATGCTGGCTCGGGCATGTGGTAATCATGTCACCAAACAGACCGTCTCGATGTGCGATACTTTCCGAGATAGGTATATATATTTATATTTCACACTTGTCTGAGGACAGACTGTGTGCCAGGAAAATCATGGTACAACCATCTTTATAAAAGAAGAAAGTTTCACGATTGGCATGTGGGCTGAATACTGACAGGTTGCTCAGGCCAAGGCAGGCGAATTTTCTTGAGGAATTCACAGCCGGAACCTTCGGCTAGCCAAAGCCTGACCTGCAAGGCAGCGGGGCGGTGTGAAAACCGTAATCCATTGGAGGGCGGTATCCAGTTCATCTGATCATACACCCTTCGGACGGGGTCCAAGGTGTCCAATCCACCTTGATGCCCGATAGAGCCGGTGACCACTGCCACGACCGGAAAAGTGTATGTGGTTCGTACGCCTCCTCCTTGTTGGCTTGGAACCAGGGTTTTTGGCCAACTCCCCTAGGTGAACTACCAGTGGTCCACCAACCCGGTTATAGCCC